AGCGTAAAGAATGAAGTTCTGAGACACAAGTAAATGTGTTAATTATAATTATATTGCTTTTGTGTAAATAATTAAGTTTATTGGCAAGTAATTTAGCAAGATTATAATTGAAAGTTCCTGAAGCAAATATAATAGGCCAAAGTAGCAGATCAGATTTATGGACTTTGGGTAAACCGTATATTCTACCTGGTTGAGATCCTATAGATATGCAACATTTATATTCTTTTTCAGTTATGAATTCATCGTTTTATATAATTGTTTAAGTTTTCTAATTAATTTATCTTCTTGTGAAATAGTTACATCATCTTCTAATTGTTTGAATGTGTTAGTATCATTTACAGACTAAATTTAAATGTGTCGTGTTTATGTGTTGTGAATTATTGTGTCGTGCACTCCAGCACAAAAATGTGTCGTATACAAATTTGTCGCGTTCTGTCTGATGACTATTCGTTCCCCGTTTTGTTATGCACACATAGCGACATATAAACAACGCGACTGAATGTACAAAAAGATAAATTTTCAAAATATTCCTTTTTTCAAAGTTATTTCTCGATCATTTTTTTAATCGAGAAAATGCTATAATCTCGATCCATGATCGACAGAGGACTACTCTGAAGCGGTCTGAGGCAAATCGGACCAATTCGAGATCGGACAGATCCCAGGATCTGACCTACTTGAGTTTTCAGAATAGGAATAATTGAAGGAAATTAAATTGAAAACGAAATGGAAATATGCTTTTCCAAAGGAACCAATAGAAAATGTGTCGTGGTCTTGCTGGAGAAAATGTGTCGCAAATCACGACACATGCGATACATTGTAACTTAGTGTGTAGGATTTGGTACATTTTATTATTATATTCTGTTTTGTCCATAATCATCATGCTTCTACCTTTATCAGGTCTATTTATTTGTATAGATTTATCATTAGATAGGTTTTTTAATGCTTGTTGTATTCTTTTAATTTTTGATTGGTGTTTAGCAATTATCTTATTTGCGTTGAAACGAAAATTATTAGATGGTGATCGAATTTTACTAGCGTATTGCAATTGTGTTGGCCTTAAATGATATGTTATCTGTTCATCAGAATCCTTTTTGAGTAATCTTGTTATCAATGCAATAACCTAATAGATTTGCAAAGTATGTTTCAATATTACTTATAAAGGTCGTTTCATCGAATTTATGGTTAGGATATACGTATTGTAAACCATTTTCTAATGCTTTTATTTTATCTTTAGTTAAAATTTTCTTCGAGAAATTTTTATTGGTGAAATGTTTGATTTAGTTGTAATAGTTGGTGGCAGTTGTTTATCTTTCCTCAATTTGTTTAGTTTCTTTTGGTGAGTGTTACGAATTTCAGATGTTTTCTGTACCACTAATTCATCTATAATTCTATTAACTCTGCATTTCGTTAAATGAGTTAGGTCAAAATTAATCAGTAAGGTATGGTTTCTCGCAATTCGATACAAACAGGTTAACTCACGTTTTTTTACTATTATTTCATTCAAAAGAATTTGTACGTAACAATTGTTTATCGCCCGTCGATAATGGAGATGCGTCGATGGGGTTTTAAATTGTACAATATTGGGAATCAATTCTTCCTGTTTGCAAGATTTTAAAAATTTTAAGTCCAACTTCACCTTGAAGATCATGGGTCGAAACTTTCCATAATAAACTACATTGTTTGTTGTATAAGACCTATATTGCTGCCTTATAATTTGAAGATAATTATCATGTTATATGGGTAACAATTTGAAGATAATTATCATGTTATATGGGTAACAATTTGAAGATAAATTTAATAGCAATAACAGCAGCTATAAATTTCATTTTGTTTATTTGTTTCGTTTTATTTGCTGTTTTTTTATTGTTTTAGAGATTATTTAATAATACTAAAAAATATAATAGATTTTTTTATCCTTTAATTTATTGTTTTTTTTTTATTAATTAATATTGTCGACGTTTCGACAGATCGACTGTCATTGTCAAGGCAGATGTTAATGATTCATATGATAAAAAGAAAGAAAATATATACAGGGTTGCCCAAAAGTAACATGGTAAATAACTTTTTTCGATTTTTTTTGAACATAGTAAGTTAGATCTCATGTTGATACTACATATACTAGGTGACATAATTCGAAGATGCAGCATATGATCAGTATCTAGCTGTTGGAACTGATCCAAAAGTGTATAAATAATACGAAGCTTGCCAATGGAATTATGTTGACGAGTTTGTCAATTAGTACCAGCATGAGCGCTTGCAACTTTGCAAAGATTTAGAAGGTGAACACATTGAGCAATTTTCGTGAAAAGCTTCGCTATTAAAACACTTCACAAATACATATTATTGTGTGTCATTTTCTAGTTGTATTGTTTTAATAAACGTTTTGTTAGAACTCAGAGTTTGTTTTCTTACTTTTGGCCGCTCTATATTTGTATGCTTTTGAACAAATTACTTCAATTAAGTACTGATCATGTGGTGTATCTTTGAATTATGTCACCTAGTATATGTAGTATAAATATGAGATCTAACTTACTGTGTTCAAAAACAACTCAAAATATTATTTGTCATGTTACTTTTAAGCCACTCTGTATATAATCAGAGAAGTAAAGAAAGGTAAGTTATCATCTGTTGTTACACCAACCAGAAACTCTACAAATACCTCTACAATGGTTTGGACAGTATTATGAGCGCTTGTAACTCTGCCACAACCATGGTAAAGGATCTGTAGGGTTTCTGGTTCGAGTAACAACAGATGATAACTTACCTTTCTTTATTTCTCTTATTATATATATTTTTTTCCTTTTTTTCATATGAATTATTAACACCTGTCTTGACAGTGACAATCGATCTGTCGAAACGTCGACAATATTAATTAACAAAAAAAAACAATAAATTAAAAGATAAAAAAATCTATTGTATTTTTTTTTTATTATTAAATCATCTCTAAAACAATAAAAAAACCTAGAAAATTAAACAAAACAAATAAACAAAATGAAATTTAAAGCTGCTGTTATTGCTATTAAATTTATCTTCAAATTGTTACCCATACAACATGATATTATGAAATAGTGAGTATACACCTTCGCACACTTACTACGAGATGCTTTTTGTTATACACTATCGGGAAACAGATGATTGAATTGGTCTAGAACCAGCTGAATATAATTTAAAACTACTTGGAAACCACTCAAAAATCAACCATTTTCTAAATATTCTGGTTCCTTTCTCGAAGATTTGTGTGGCTCTTCATGACTCTTTATAGCCATTACTGGTGTTACATTTCTCGATGAGTTTTCGTTTGCGTTTGAAAGGAAAAGAAAAAGTAAAAACTAAGTGAATGAATGAATGAATGACCTTGCTTCTTTCGAACGCATTTGTTGATTCAACTAACCAAAAACACTTTGGTTCTAGCTGCACAAACATAGAAGAAACTACGTACCATGAAGGACATCTATACTTTATTGCCATATTTCTTCCATTCCTGTGCTCAGTCGTCAATAAGAAATTGATTTGTTGACTCTCATTACTCTCCATAAAGATGCATTCAATGCGAAAGGTCGTTTCGATATTTCTGATTTTTTTATCCCCAAGAGCACATAAATAGTGACATAAAGCAACAAACATTAACGTCAAATATTCGATAAGCTGCTGTAGCAGTGCAAACTCCAGCAATCATCAACAGCAGTGGTTACCAAAAGTGCCATACTCCATCTTATTTTCTGCCGTAATCCTGTTGGTTACAATCGCGATGGCATCAATACGAACGGTGACAAAAGGTGTTGTTGTATCAGACCTTTTTGTTTTATTGGTCAATTTTTTATTTGTATTGCTGATATATTTTGTTGTAATGGTTGTGATTTTGATCCTGAATCTGGTGGCGGTTTTTGTGCTCGATGTGGTAATTTTTGTCGTGATACTATTGGTCGTTATTGTGGTTGTCCTCCATATCCTAGGAGGAACTACCAGATATGTTGTGTCAATATAGTGTTTCTATGGTGACTCACGAAGAAAATGTTGCCAACATTTTATTTTACACTTCGTATCTCTTTTGATATTATAATGTCGAGTAATTTACATTACTGAATTAATTCATCATTTTTTTCTAGGATGTACGGTACAAACCGACCAACATCGAAAATTAGACATTCTGATCAAAATATGATTTTCATTATTCAACGATGTCAGCTAGAACGTTTTTCCACTCATATTTCAATTATTTAGGATAGCCAATGAGAGTACGGATAAATAGATAAGCTACGATGATTCGAACTTCTGTCCGAAGGAAGGCTTCACGTCAAAAAACTTTAAATTATAACTCATTAATAAAGAATTGATAAACATTTCAATCGTTGACTCTGCACATATGCTATATTTTCTAAAAAGAAAAGATGGCACCCAGAACCTTTTGAAGGTTCTGGATCCAGGTATAAAATTAGAACCTTTACACGGTTCTTTATGGACATTGTTCTGTGTAGAACCTGTTGGTAACTAACAGAATAAGAAGATGATCCAGTGAAGGTTCTATCTTGGATATGGCTATGTTTATATGGTTGATATGATTCAAAGTACCATACGATGTGGGATATAGATGCGACCATCTTATTGATAACATTCTATCAAGAGTTTTCTTCGATCACCAACGAAAGAAATTAGAGGACCCACAATAGGATACTTTCGATGCGCGACCAATGAAATTGATCTAGGGTTGTCTTCGTTCGAGAATAGACGAGGATGTGAGTGTAGGTGTGGGTGGATGTGAGCGGGTGTGAGTGTGGATGTGGGTGGGGACTCTCTATTCCGTCATATCTATATCCACAGTGTGTAAATGTGTATTTGGACATGCAAGTTATAACTATACTTCAAACTTTACACAATACAACTACGACTACTTGTTCTGTAATCGATCAAAGACAATACAGACATTTCAAAATGAGTCCTTTCGTTCACAGTTGAAACACTAAAGAAACGCATTCTTGATGAACTATAGTTCTTCTAGTTATTTATCTGAGTAGTCCAGTAATTTGAGATACACCACAGCAATTGCTATGGATTTGACAATATTTATTGAATTCATCCAACGAAACATTATCTTTGTAGAGCTGAAGTGTCGCATATCCATATGCCCAATATGATGGCTTTATATTTCCATGGCCATGACGATTGAGTAATTCATCTCGATAGATATATAATCTTCGTTTTATATATTGTGCTCTAAGTTTGATCCATTCGTCATTTTGACCTAATTTAGTAAAAATATTTTCATAGTCACTGAGTTCTGTTGTGAACAGAACATTTCCATTATTCCAAACAGGTTCATCATTAAGTTCATCGTCTCTTCCCAGAAGAAAAACTTTGAGTATGTCCAATCGTCTAGGTACATTTTCATTCAAATCTAACAGTTTCTGCTTTAATTCTATAAATCCTAAGCTCGAAGAATTTTCAATTGTCAAATGAAGTTTTCCATATGTGATACCGTTTCGCATCAACTTGACAATATCACTATGAGAATTCGCTTGCAGAATTGACGTAACCAATAATGAAACTGATTCGGTACGTTCTAAACGTCGCTTAACTGCTAAATCGGATGCATATTGATTTTCAAATTTTTTTCTTATGTATTCTTGTACCATCTTCTTAGCCGCTCGTCTATTGCCCACATCAATAATCTTCATCTTTTCATTATCACTATCTACTCGACTGGCCTTTGTTGTATATTGTAGCGCTTGGAAAATGTTAAAAAACTTAAAAAACTTCAAATTATAATCAATGTCTAAAGTTTGACATATTGAATCTTGATTGATTGGAGAAATATCCTTAATACTATTAGTATTAGAATTGACTACGGCAGAAATGAATTTAGGTAGTAGAGTAACATAATCAACGTAATAGACTGTTGCAATCAGTTCATCCAAGTATTTCTCATCAACATGTGCTTTATCATGGAATTGAATTTCGTCTAACAATGGTTCATTCTGAAACAATGGTTGTGTTGGCGTTTTATATTTATTCAAATCGAGTCCTATTAATCGATCCAACATTTTTTGTGCTATCAGATCAGAATCATCTCGATTTTTGTATTGTCGACGTACAGCTTGCCAAATTTCGTACGTATATAAAGCCCGTAAAATTTTCGGCATGTATTGTAATTTTTTCGAATCATTTTCACGATACAATTTAATTAGTGGACTAATCATATTCGTAATACCATTATTTGCAATATAGTAAGATGATTGAACATCTTGTTCTTTAATATATGGCATAATGTGATCAAAGTAGTTTCCAACTATAATTTCATAGGTTTTAACTAACTTTTCAAATGATTCCAAATATAATTCCGATTTATTCTCATTCAAATCTTCGACCAATTTCCAAATACCAGCACAAATAGTATAGCCAGCAGTCATCGGTACATCAGCCAATAAACGTCTCATACCAATAGACGATGTATATTCTAAAATGGACGGTGCATACGAATGTAAAAATTGAGCGATACGTTTGTCATCAATAATTGGAATAACATTGATAATGTCTTTGTTCGTTGCTGGTGTTTGTAATAGTTTACCACGAGACTGAGTGAATACTGTTAAAACATCCGATAGACTGACATAAGAACCTAGGTATAACTCATTAACACGCCATGTCATTGGATCAGGAAATTCACCAATAGGACCTGAACAAGGAATTCCAACTATATTTACCATTTGCAAAATACCATTTGCATCAACATCATCTAACAGATTTTCATGAACCAATTGACATACGGCACGTATCCCTCCAAGAGTAGTATCTTGAGAATAAAACGATGCTAAATGTTCACTATCATCTATATCCTTGAGTTCGTCAATATGTTTAGCCATATTTCGAATTTCGTTTCGAAGAATTTCATTGAAATCTAATCCTTTTGCGATAGCGCGTCGTGCCAAACCGCACGCATTCTTTGATGATGCATCCATTGTACGTAAATATTCAGCTTGCTGTGCTGAATTCAATTGAGAAACTTTATCATCATTAGCGATCTGTGACATGCGCATAACAAATGACTTTTTCTTTCGAGCAATGGTACTTTTCATATGTTGTAAACGTGCACGCAGACTCGAATCATTCAATAATACAGGTAGATCGTTTTCATTAGCTAACAATGAATTTTCAATGCGTTGAAAATAGTCAAGTATGCTACTGATTTCCTTTTCCGATTCGACTGTATTGACAACTTTGAGGATTTTCAATTGATTCATAAAATATTCAATTTTCGTTTTTAATAGTTTTTCATACGTATCAATAGTCAATCCATCAGCTATTCTATAGTTGATATTCATGTTACCAATCATTAATTTGCCTATGGGTAATTTGCTCAGCCAGAATAAATTTTCACCAGATGTTAAAGAGATCGAGTCTGAATCTTTTGTTTGCCATGGTGTACTTTTCAATATTTGTTCGTCCGATTTGAGTAATGCACGTTGATCAAGAGCATCACTAGAAAATAAATTGGCTATTGTTGTCGAAATTTCTTCATTACTTAGATTTGCTTTCAAATCTAGTAAATTCACTCGTGATACATTGTTCAATTGTAATACACTTGAAACTGCTCTTGTATCAGGCTGAGCTGTAGACGTAAATAATCGAACAGCTTGGGAGTTAATGATGAAATCATTTTTGATCAATGAAGTCAATTGAATTGCTTCGGTTTGAACTTGATCTTGATCAGCTACATCACCATCTGATATTGTTAACAATCGTAAAGTACGACAATCTGTTGGTAATTCAATTAGAATAGTTTGAATTAGCATTGAAATGGCTAGTGCCATATAAGTGCAACCTTGAGATTGAATCTTGAACTTAGATAGCTCTTTAACTGGTATAGTATACTTATTTGCATTATCATCAAATGTAATTAATGTAATAATTTGATCATTAGCATAGTCCAATGTTTTTAAAATTCTGGGTAGAATTCGGTTAACAAATCGGCCAACAAAATTACCCATTGAACCAGAGCGATCGAGAATAACGATAGTTGCAACCTTTGACTTCGAGAGAAGAGTTTCGTCCGATGTAGTTAATGAAAGTTTCCCAATGAAACCTGTTTCATTTGGGTACAAGCAAAGTTCGAGTTCCGATTCTGAAGTCATTTTATTTCCAATTCAGGGAAAATCAATCAAAATTTTATGTTGTTAGAAAATTTTTTCTAATAATAATTTTTTTCAGCTTAAACATATATAAGTTACTATTGCAGATCTTGCACAACATGTCATCATTTCTGTTTCACAATTGCAAAGAGAACACGTGTGCACACAGAAAATGAAGAAAATAGCCTATTTTTTTATCGTTCTCGACATACTTGAGTACGATTCTTTTTCGTCGATTCTTGTCGTCCATGTGCTCTTAAAAGGTATACGTGACAATCATGCACAAAGAGCGTCGAGTTCTGTTTCTTTTCTTTTTTTCTGTTGGCGAAAACTAAATGTAAAATGCTTATCGCATCAAGCAAAGTTTCCTCAAATGTATGCATAAAACTTTGTTTGAATTTTTTTGTAACCATAAGTGGTACCTGTTCATGAGTATCTTGCACGATAACAGAGAGATTTCTATGCAACAGATTGATTACAAACTCCGTGGGACAACTTCAAGCACTGCATTTATCGAAAAGACTGCATCTGTCAATAATTCACAAGAAGAGATTGCTACTAATCTCAAATATAACTTAATTTTTCATTCGTTCATCTATTAGCACGAACAAAATGATTTTTTTCGACCTCTCTCAATCATCAAGTTTCAAAACATACAAGAAATCACTCGACTATTGGTTTCTGTCTCATGAAAATGATTGAACTTTGTCTATTCGATAAATCATAGAGTTTCTGAGACTCAAACACGAAAAAGTTCTCTTTCGTTGAGAGAAGGTCTTTGCATATATGTTTGCGAATCTATTATCACAAGATTTCAAGAGACACAGCATTCAGTCTTTCAAAATGTATTGCGTTCAACTGGTTTGTTTTCATTGTTAAAAGATCAATTATGAAAAGAAAAAAAGAAAATTCACTGTTTTTTAATGTGAAGTATCCAGTGAGTGGTACTCAAAATGATTTTGCTTGTCAAAGCCATTCAGTTGATAACGGTAATCATATCTTTCGTCGATAAACCACTCCGTTGACAGTATCTTTTTAGTCATGCAGGGCGCATAAAACCTATGAGTGAGGGCAAAATGGATTGATCTCATTATGATTGAAAGCCTGATGCAAGAATTTAGGAGTATTATGAAACTTTATGGTTTATAATGACCTTGTAGACGAAGTGTTTGTGGGCGAAAAAGCATACAATTCGTTGATAACATAGTCAAAACTTGATTATTGACGAATGTCGCGTCAATTCATGCACGTGAGTAATACACTGTTACGGACATCATGTTCGTTTTGTTGGTATCACCATTTGTTTGGCAAATATCATGCTTCTATGTATATTTCTCATTCTTTACTTAACTGTAAAAGTGATGCACAATGATTCAGACGTTATTCTTCTATATAATGTGTTATAAATATAAGATGACAATAACTCTTCGTTAGAATCGTAAAACGACGAGCAACTTCAATATTTGCTTTACGCTAGTAAATCATTTTCATAATACGAATCGTACTGATTAAGAAGTGAATTGCAATAAACTCTTCTCATATTATTGACGTGTGTTGTAGACGAACAATGAAATATCTCGTTCTTCTTTTCTTCTTTGCTATTCTTCATTCCGTCCAAAATTTTACTCTTCCATTCAATGTCAACATGCTACCTATAATTGATACGCTCAAGATAATCAATTCCTCAACCGTTCAGCTGGTCTGGAAATCATCATCTGCACTCGAAGACATTGATCTTGCTCAGTTGTCAGGCAAATTTACTGTCAGTCTTTATGCGGGCACTAGAATCTACACGTATAATAATATCGCAATTTACAATCTAACTAGACTTAATACAACTGATTCGATCACTATCACCCAACTTCACCCAGATACTGTTTATCATGTATGTTTTCAAAGTAAATGGTACGAAGAAAATGCCACTATTGTTGATGAGGCGATTGATGGAATCAAGCGAAGCGAATGTCAGCTATTGCGGACATATGCTAATGGTAAGCTACATTGGAAGCTTGAGAATAATTACAATTATAGAGCATGACAGAATAAGGTCGTCTATAAGCCAGGAAAGCCTATGAGAATAATAAAATTGAATACATTCAGTAGTCTACAAGTCGTTTTCCATTGGTTTTTCTGTCATTAGAATGTATTAGTATAATTTAAAAGTTCTCTCTACAACATATATAATAATATACTTTATTGACACAAAATAATTTTAACATGTTGATGATGAGAAACGAGTCTTCTGTGAAAAATTTATTGGTCATATAACATCTGAGGAAGATTAAAACAATTTCAAAATGAAAACTGAATGTAGCTTTAAAATTCAACACAGCAAAATTTTGCATCTTAAGTTTATTTTAAAAATAGATCTTGTTCCATAGAGACAGCTCTTATTTCTCGAAAATTTTTCAAAAAAAAATGTTCCTCAGAAACAAAAAAACAAAGTTTTTACAAGTTGAACTCTAACAACTTGTAGCAATAGGGTTTCCTCACGTGTTAAAACTAACCTACTATGCATATCATCCGATTTGACAGAGAAATCAGTGCTACACAGAGAGCTGCATTGTGATCCATGATGTTACAATAGCTCTTGAACAAGTCGATTCTTTTCGAACGAAATCTGCATCATAAACTATTAGTAGCTGAGCATACATTTCCAAATGACTCAGTCAGATCAATTGCTTTCGAGAAAAAAAACTGATCTTTGCAAAGGAGTTTGGAAAATGCTTAATTTATTCATTTGTGATACAAACAAATCGATATTAGTCATAGTGAGCTCAGAGAAAGTGTTGTTTGCTTTATCGTCATTCACATATTGAAATTGTTCTTTCAAATGATTCTACACCAATTCTTTATTTCATAGACGAAACAACGCTACGTGCTGTGCCATCAATAGGTGAATATTCATGGAAGCAAATAGTGGATACTAATGGGACAAAAGCAATTGTTATCAATGCTAGCATTTCTTCGGAGCTGCCATACATGAAACGAAATATCACTGTTGAACTTGATTCCAAAAATCAAACTCAAGCAATCGAAACACCACTCGAAACAGTTCAATTCATGTTCAATCATCTCGATCCAAATTCAAAAGTCTATCCACTATCGGTAACTTTCAAATTAATGAATTTTGGAAATACGCGAATTATAACAAACACAACCACTAGTGAAGTGAACATAGAAGACACAAATGGGCATGGTCGACTTCTTAGTAATTTTTTTCTTTTGATCTTTCTTGCAATATTTATATTTTTGTAATGTTGCACTAACGAATAAATTAATCGAACGCCTAGAGTTTACATGTCGCAAGTTCGAAATCAGAGCTGACTATAACAATCACACAATTAATTTAGTATTCATTTGACGAGAAAACCTTTCTAGGTGTAGCATCGATTTTGAAATGTTACTATGCACATTGAGTAGATCCAATAGACTATGGCATATCCTCCTAGAGGATGAGTTTAGATGGTTGAATAAGGTAACCTTAGCCACATCCACTTGCTCACCCCCACCCTCAAGTACATATACAATATCCTAGAAGTTGGATGATGAAGTGTATTGTGTCCCCTCGCCGCCGCATCCCTGAATAAAGTACAGGATACCTGAAAATTCATTGACCAAAAAGAAAACTTCACAGTTCAATTAAGGTTCTATGCTATGCATTGATTTTTGTAATGATGGTTAAGAACGGTTCAAAGTTTTATTCAATAATATGGGTTTCTTAAACTCTCTTACGAAGTAACTATTACACGCTCAGTGCACACATATAATGCTTTTTCGAGGTGTTATAAAACAATATATGAGGGCGCATTGAATTTATTCCATTTTGTTTTATTATTGTGGAGTTCGTGTGATCCAGATACATTTCTCTTCCTTTATAAAGATTTTTTGAATACATTAGGGAGACTCACAGTGATTGGTACATTTCTACAACAAGCATTTACTTCTCCCTTCCCAGACTTCGATGAGACATGAACTGAGTAAACCAATGTGATTTAAGCGTTTTTTCCACACATCAGTCTTTAGATTGATGTTTCTAATTTGTTCAAAAATGTTCAAAAAAATGTTTATAAAGTAAGAAAAATAGGTCTGAACGTTAGGAAGTTCACAATAAATAATCAAAATGGAAAAATTCATGAAACAACCTTACATTTTATTTTTTTGTACCTCGTAAAAGGACTTTCAGTTTGCAGCAAACCTGAAAGTGTTACTTGTAAGAATTTTTGAGAAATATATATTAGCGAAAACAAACTTTGAGCTGTTCGCAACAATCGATACGAAAAGTAGTTAATCCAATAGGACCATGATGAAAGAATAAAGTTTTCTTTTTAGTTAATGACTGTATGGATAGCGTGTATTCTTCGTGCATATAAATAGGTGCACAGAAGAAACTATAAAAATAGATAATCACACAAGAATGAATGACTATGCATTTCCAACCTTGTTCATTGAAATCATAAAAGTGAACATGAAAAGAAAGAAATACCTATGATTTATATAAATCCAGTGGAAAGAGGAGAATGAATGATGACTGAATAAACAATTGAGTATATATGTATCATTGAACACATTTAAATTTCACAATATATTTCAGACTTTTCGGCAGCATATCCGTCATCATCATGCAAAAATAACAACAAAATGAAATAACAAACCTAATACGTGTATTTGATCCAAATAAATCTTTTATATATTCTCTGTTTTTATTCAATAACACTATTTGTTAAATTCTTTAGCTAGATCTAAAAACATATAATGGCTCCTATACTTTGTTTTTTCTTTGAACTTAGTATGATATCTATTTCGGAAAACTGCATATTAAACAGACGAGGAACTTGCCGAGTTGCACATCTTTGGTACCTACTAAATGGAAGCTATTCATTCATCAAATGCCGTTACATTCTTTTCAAAAAATAATTAGTAATTGGTGTTGGTCACCCTTTTCTTTACTGATAGTGCAGATAGTCAGGTTCAGAACATGAAAGAAAATGAGTGATTACTTACAATACATTCAGCTTCATGTTACCTAGACAGTTGATTTGAAGCTAAGTTTGTATTATTTGATATTACTGAATGCAAGTGACATACATGAAAAAGAAAAGCTTCAAGCTATTAGTAATTTTAGTGTCACACTTATAGAATGATGTTACAGAAACAAAAGATTTCATATTCTATCGTTATAATAAAAATATCAAGAAAAATCAATTAGCATTATTTGGTTTTCTTGCTTCTAACAAGTTGAATGTAAGCGAAAATAAGCAATAATATAGTCATCACTGTCAATGCAAAAAGGTTTTTCCATAAATCCCATGCATTAGCATGAGCAAGTTCTCGTTTATTAAGTATCTCATCACCTGTCATTGGACAAAAATCAGTTTGATTTGGTAAGCAGAATAT